GACAATGTTCAGTATCCTGCAACCAACTTTGAAAAGCAAACGTGAAACTTTATGTTGTATCGCTCAAGTAGCTTTACACCTTTTTCCAAAAGAACTTGTCTTTCATGGAACAGATTAAAGCATGTTGGTCCAGTGATACGGTTGTTAATGTCTCACCGTATCACTGTCACATGTTCAGCTCGTCATTTTCTCAGGAAACCAGGCTCCAACAGGCACATGTGCCTGGAAGCCAAGGAGGGGGCAGCGGGGTGACATTTCCTCATAAGTTACTTGAGACATGGCAGAGTGTTTGGGTCAGGTGGGTGAAAATGAGATACTGCATCTTCGTATGGCATCTTGTGTTTGTGCCCAACAGCTCATCGTGTGGCTGATTATAAAGGGAGGGGCATTCGTTTAATGGTGAAGAAAAGCTACTAGATTCAAGATAAAAATCTGAACTATGGAAGCTCAACAGGTGAAACTTTGGTTTACTTTGACAAAACCGCTGATCTGGTATACAATTTTAACAATACTCTGTTTTTAGTGGATTCCAAGTTTATTTATTTAGTCATTAATCACGAAACACTCTAATTTGATACCTGGTCAGATGAACGTGCGACAAGGTATCATCAGAACAAAACAAAGAATAAAATGCTTAGTCTGTCCAACCATCCATCCATTATCTTTTACCTGCTTCTTTCATTTTGGGTCACGGGGGTCGCCGGTGCCCATGTCCATCAATCACTGTGCGAGGGGCGGGGTACACCCTGGACAGGTCTCCAGTCCATCACAGGGACACATAGAGACAAACAACCATTCACTCTCTCTCTCGCTCACCTAGAGTTACCAATCAGTCTAACATGCATGTTTTTGGTCAGTGGGAGAAAAATGGAGTACACGGAGAAAACACACGCATGCACGGAGAGAACATGCAAACTCCACCCAGAAAGGCCGGGAATTGAACCGGCAAGCTTCTGGCTGAGAGGCAGCAGCTCTACCAGTTGTGCCACAGTGCTGCCATGTTTGTGTAAAATGAAAATGTGATTTCTTATCTGACTCAGGCGCCAGTAAGACCTGTAAGACATCACTGCATCAGTTGGTCATCAGCATACTGAATTTAACCGTCAGCTGATGCTCTTATCATAGACAAAACTTTTGTTGTTTTGCAGCTGCATTTCTGCAAGAAGCACAACAAAATAAAGAAATCAAAATCCACCATTCTGGGCTCCAAAGCATCTATATACTGATGTGCAACACAAAAGTTCATATTAGCCTGTTAGTTCTGTGGGTTTTAGGTATGATGATGACGAGCACTTTGTTCTGTTTTAAAATGGTGATTTATTGAAATGATTTGATTATTTGAAGTGTGCTTTCGAATAACCCATCACCCAGTCACACGTTGAGTATTTTAGGAAAGTGTTTGCCCTTTTTAATTGTTGTTTTCAGACTGACCAAACCAGCCATGAATGTTTAAACCTTTATGATATAAACATTAAAACTGCACAGAATTACTTATTTAATGTCTTTCTTGCACTCTAATTAACTACGTTTACATTTTAAATATTTTTTTAATCTACGATGGACTCTGGTTGTACACTTCCTTTGTATAAAATCTAATTAATATTTTTTCAATTTGCTACAATAAACACTTTAATTTGAAACCTGCTCATATAAATAATGGTCTAATTTTGCAATACAGATCTGCTCCTGTAAACATTCTCCACAAACATATTAGTCTACAAATAAACAGGATTATTTAGTGCGTACAGTTCATTCTAACAGACACCTGCAGCTGGTTAACGCTCAGGAAGCTGCTTAGTTGTTGTAGTAACCTGACCTCCACCAGCTGTTTCCAGGACAGCTGCTCACACAGAGCATGAAGTTTCCATCCCCAGCTGGATTTATTACAATTAGTTCACGTTTCATTACGATCAACCGTGCTCAGGCAGTTATTACCCTCTATTACAATGTTAGTTAATAAAATATGTATTGACCTGAAAAAAGAGCTAATTGACCTTAGCAAACACAAATGGCCATTACTCAGTCAGACAGATTTTAAGCTAAAAACATTGATGTGGTAGTAGCTGAGTGTCATCCCCAACACATATCCCAAGCAGTAACAAGTCATATTTTATTTATTTTGGCATGCAAGGCAGTGGGCAGTATGCATTTCTTCATGAAATTATTGTTTAATTCTCTGTTTTCTTTCTGTAAATGACTCTAAATGTGTTTTAGATGTCATGTCGTTCTGTGTTGAAACATAGCAGCTTAATTGCACCTGTACTCCTGCACAAAGTGAGTTTTTAACAATATTAAAATATTCTAAATGTTACAGGGCTTTATCACTGTTAATAAATTTAAATATTTCAAACATATTGACAGCCGTACAGGAAGGACTGATAACTGAAACTGTCCAGCCCTTTGGGTCGAGAGTCTAAGAGTGGAAATATGAGCTAAACTTTACGCTCTTGTCTACTTTTTCCACATGACACACACATAAATAACACCTGGGCTTTTTATAGCTCTTTTATGTGAATTAGACACAAGGGTTGATTAGAGGAGCTTAAAGGAAGGCAATGTTTGGGAACCCCCATGGAGGAAAGGAAAGTTTCATACCTCTGGTGGTCCAGAATGCCCAGCAGTGTCACAGCATGGAAACCTCCTTCTCATCACTATTCCCATCACACACCTGTTCATTAGTCATCTCCCTGTTGTTTTTATGTGCTTCCTGATTTAGAGAATGACATTTACAGTGGACCTGCAACCAAGAAGACAAAGTATAAATATTGCAAAACTAATTTTAATTCAAATTTACTGAATATTGTATTTGAAAGTACAGCATGAACACAAGAAAACATAATATTTTTCAATTCAATTCATTTTAATTCAACTCAGGTTATTTATATAGCGCCAAGTCACAACAGAAGTTGTCTCAGGGCACTGAACAGAAACATTCATATGCATAAAAAAGCCAGTTAGAAAAATGTTATGTCTAAGGAAGCCAGCAGATTGTGTTGAATCTTCAGCTCGTCGCAGTCTCCCATCCTGAGCAAGCACAATGGCAACAGTGGAAAGGAAAAATTCCCTTTTAACAGGTAGAAACCTCCAACAGAACCAGGCACATGACACGTGGCTATCTGCTTCATCAGGCTGGGGTTTGAGAGAACAGGAAGGAGAAACAGACATTAGATGTATGAGCCGAGCAGCCCGGCGAGGCTGAAAACTCCAGAGGTCCCCAAGCAGCTCAGCGAGGCTGAATGTCCAGTGGTCCCACCACTAGTGTCAACGGAGCCACCAGTGTCTCGCTCTCCAGGGTCTTCAGGATACCACTCTCCCTGCGTCTCTGTGGGGGTCAGCCATGATGCCCCACCTCTGTGTGTCTCCGAGGGAGTCCTGGGAAACACCTCGCTCTCTACCTCTCGTCCTGCAGCTGTTACTGCTCTGGTGGACCCCAAAACTCTGGCAACTACCTCATTTGTGGTCTCATCATCAGCTGCAGCACCGCTAACCACTGGTCCCTCATTGGCTTAAGCGCTTTCAATCTCTGGTTACTCATCATCTGCTGTGACCTCCATGGGTGCATCGTCTGCTGTCACGTCCGTGGGTACATTGTTTGCCACAACTCTTATCACTAGTTCATCATCTTCTTTTGGTCTCTCACTGGTCTCATCACCTTCTGCAGTCTCACTGGTCTCATCTCCTGCAGCAGTCTCACTGGTCTCATCTCCTGCAGCAGTCGCATTGGTCTCATCTCCTGCAGCAGTCTCACTGGTCTCATTTCCTTCTGCAGTCTCACTGGTCTCATTTCCTTCTGCAGTCTCACTGGTCTCATTTCCTTCTGCAGTCTCACTGGTCTCATTTCCTTCTGCAGTCTCACTGGTCTCATTGCTTGAAGCAGTCACACTGGTCTCCTCTCCTGCTGCAGTCTCACTGGTCTCATTTCCTTCTGCAGTCTCACTGGTCTCATCTACTGCAGCAGTCTCACTGGTCTCATTTCCTTCTGCAGTCTCACTGGTCTCATTGCCTGATGCAGTCACACTGGTCTCATCTCCTGCAGCAGTCTCACTGGTCTCATTTCCTTCTGCAGTCTCACTGGTCTCATTTCTTTCTGTAGTCTCACTGGTCTCATTGCCTGATGCAGTCACACTGGTCTCATCTCCTGCTGCAGTCTCACTGGTCTCATTTCCTTCTGCAGTCTCACTGGTCTCATCTACTGCAGCAGTCTCACTGGTCTCAACTCCTGCAGCACTCTCACTGGTCTCATTGCCTGATGCAGTCTCACTGGTCTCATCTCCTGCAGCAGGCTCACTGGTCTCATTTCCTTCTGCAGTCTCACTGGTCTCATTTCCTTCTGCAGTCTCACTGGTCTCA